GTGTTTCTTGATTCTCAATTATTATCAAATAATCTTTTTAACTGCTGTTGTTGCTGTTGTAGTGGCTAGTGGAATATCCAGAGTTTGCCTCAAGTCCTCTTTATGTCAGTGGAGATTCATACTCTGGTATGGTGGTTCCAGCCATTGTACAACAAATCTCAATAGGTTTGTTTTAAATCTTTTGTTGTCATTATAATCAATCCCCCAAAAACCATATTTTCTAGAATTGGTTTTACTACTTAATTAGCCACTTTATTAAAGTCTTACACAATACCGTTACGCAGGAAATGAACACGGCAACAAACCTCTAATCAATCTTAAGGTTCATCAATACCTTCATTTTATGTTCAACATCACACTTTATACCAAAAGAATCATTTTGTACAAACAGGGTTATATTCTTGGAAACCCAGTAACAGACTATGATATTGATGATAACCATAGGATACCATATGCTCATGGAATGGCACTGATCTCTGATGAACTCTATGAGGTATATTGAAAGTCTTATCTTTTCTCCACCACAATGTAACTAACTTTTTCAATTGAAAAGCTTTCTTGAAACTCTTGTTCACAGTCGCTTAAAAGAAGATGCAAAGGAAATTTGTGAAGATAGATCCTACTAACACACAATGCTTGAAGTTGATGAAATACTACAAAAAGGTAAGCAAACACAGGTTTAGAATATTGTGAATAGCAAAAGATTAATTTGGGACTTTTATTTTGGTTGATGATTGACAGTGTGTTTCAAGGATAAATGACGTATTAATTTTGACACCATTGTGTGATTTTGCATTGCCAAACCCGTTTTTGAAAGACCATATTGGAAGAAGAGATCTTAGGGAATTTCTTCACTCAAATCTTTCTCTTCCAGCTTCTGATTGCTATGTAAGCAAAAACAAAACTCTACTGAAATGATCTTTGCTTTAGCTATAAAATGGAATTTTTTTTAACTAAACCGTTAAGATAAAATATGCAGACATATCGGTATTTGCTAGCTACACATTGGGCTAATGATGAGAATGTACGCAAAGCGCTTTATGTGGTGCAAGTAAGTCATATTACACAAATGTCATCTAATGCATACATATGTCATCATCTAATACACAAATTTCTTCAGGGAAGTATAGGGAAATGGGTGAGATGCGATATGGATTTGGCTTATTATGAATATGACATAAAGAGTAGTGTACCGTATCATCGAAACAATAGCATCAACATTATAGGTCATTGATTTATAGTGGTGATCATGACATGAAGGTGCCATTTCTTGCAACACAAGCTTGGATTAGAACTCTCAATTATTCAGTCATTGATCAATGGAGACCATGGCTTGTTAACATTCAAGTTATGGGATATACAAGGACTTACGCCAACAATATGACATTTGCCACTATCAAAGCAAGTGCCATTTCTTTGGCTTCTCATCAAAATGTTTTTTTCTTTTCAACTCTTTCAATTGTTACATTTTACAATTCTAAGAGGTTTGGTTTAATTTTGCAGGGAGGAGGACACACTGCAGAGTATAAACCAGAGGAGAGCTTCATGATGTTTGAAAGATGGATACGTGGCCAATCTCTGTAACACAGTGAGCTCCAATGATCATAATATCATAGTTTTTGAAAATCAAATAATAAAGATATATAAAAAAATATCTTGTCTATTGTAAATTTGTGCTAGAGCCGGACCTTTGACACATCATCATTACATTTGAATTAGACCTCTATATTATGAGGCCTCCTTAAATAGAAGATGTACATTTATTGAAACTTTTAGCCAATTATCTGTTAATAAAAACTATGAAATAATTGCTTTTATAAAATTTAAGTTATGTACTTATTTTACTAATATGTCTTGTTCATATATTTA